ATTTTTTCTTGCTTTTGAGAGAATATATATATTATATTATTATTTTTGTAATATTTGATAATATAACATACTATTACAATAATATAATATTTTTTATATTAATTATTAATTATATATAATTATATAATTATTATTTCTTGTTTTTGAAAGAATAAATATATTATATTATTATTTATTTAATATTTTATTATATAATACACTATTACAATAATATAATATATTATAATATATATAATATTTATATTATATATTAATGTAATATTTATATTAATTATTAATTTTATTTAGGGTTATATATTTGATATATTATATGTATGTTGTTGCATTATATTAAAATATAAATATTTTAATTATATTTAATTATATAATTATCAATTATTAATTTATGTTTTCACTTAGCAATGAACTTTGTTAAAACAATTAATACATAAATATAATTTATTAATCATTATTAATCATTACAAAAAGTTTGTCACCAATTTATTTAATTTACACATAACTAATTATTTACTCTACACAATTCAAAAATTATTATAAACATAATTACTTTACACAACACAGTTGTTACCAGCAATAATTTCTAGATAAAACCAAAAACCCCAAATTACAAAATTCAATTTAGTATATAAATGCATTTGAGTGTGTATCAAAAATGATATACGTTGCAGAGAACGTGATAAAGTGCATTCCATTTCTCTCTTTTTTTTTCTTTCTCTCGTTCTCGTTCGAGTATGTCGATCATGAACAGAGAAAGATTCAACTAAAATTAGTTCGAAAGAGTTAACGTTCGAAACTTCACTTCGATTCAACTTCTGCTTTTGAATTAGCACGAACTTTCTGACCGATAACGGAAGCAAAGACTCAAACGTTCAAGGACAGTCTTCCGGTTAAACCACACAGAACAGAGATCGAATTTAATCGAGTGGTGTTCAATCTTTTACAGTAATATTATTCAATGTTAAAACTATTGGAATTAAACAAAAGTTTTTTTTTATTAATATTTCCCAAGTATATTTTATCAAAATAATTCATCATTATACAGTTTTGAAGCCAAGTTTTAACAGAATAAAAACATGAAATTCTGAGGTTCATGGTTCACCTTAATTGGATTGAAATTATCAGATATTCTAAGTTTAAACTTTCGTTTCAATTTAATTTTTTGGACAATGAAAATTAAATTAATGTGCATTTGTTATAATTAAAGTTTATAAATCAGTTATTTTACAAATTACCTAGCTGATGTGCAAATTAACTGAAGTAATCTGTTAAAGTATCAAAAATTATTTTATGCACATTATTTATCAGCCATGTGTTTCATTCAAAATGATTCATAATAGTAATCAAAATAACATAGAATATATGAGTTAACCAGTTAACTGTTACGCTCTCGTTTGATAATCGTTTTGTGTCGCCAGAATCGAGCCATGACGTGTATACTCGTCATTAGACAAAATCGTCTTACTTCTTTAATGAAGAGTATTCACGTCAATACACTTCTACGTAATAATTATACTCGTCAATATACTGCTTCATGACGAGTATTCTCGTCAATACAAAAAATTGTGACAAGTATACTTGTCAATACACAAATTAAATTTACAAATTAAATCAATCACAGTTAAATGATTAATTATTATTGAAATAATTATTATAACATAAACATTTTATTAATAATTATTGACATATAAATGTTTGATTCATTTTGAAAATAATAAAAAAGAAAAGAAACTGTAATCGATGACATGGTAGTTATTGTTGAAACTATGACTGTTATAGAAGCCTACATTTATTTATTAAAGAGGTCAATGAAAATAAACCTTTGAAGTCTGGACAATATCCTTATATTCAAATATATTTCTAAGAATATTATGTGAAAAATCTTGAAAGAATGATCGTCATCGTCATCAGCTTCCGTTTGGTTCGTCTGCCACGGATAGATCTTGCGTGCGTCACCCTAACGCGGATGCGAGACGGTAACAAAGTAGCACAGATCTCCAATAAAGAAGAAAATAAAATGAAAATATAAAAAAAAAAAAAAGAATACAACAACAAGCAGATAACAAAAGTTGTATTACTTGATTTGTTGGTGGTGGGGGTTGAGGAAAGGGAAAAAACATTGAGAGATGTTTTTTTCAATTTTCTTAACAACATTTTTATTGATTCTACGCGATGAAAAAAAAAAAAGAAAAAGAAAAACGTGCATTTTCTATTTTTAGACAATGATTTTCTACTGCGTCATTATTTTAGTAGCTTAAGGAATCACCGCTGATTTGTGATGTTGTATTGTGTGTTACGTCAATGCGAGCAGAAAATATTCGTGAGATGATTTTTTCGTTAAAAAAAAATTAATAATTGACATTAATTTTAAGATTAAACAAATGTTCGTAAATCTCTTGTTTTTTTAATTTTTTTTTATTATTATTAATATTTATAAAGTATAGTTTAAAACAATTTGTTATTTATTACAATTATATTACTATATCTTATTATATCATATATTAACACGTTTCGTGTCACGTGTACCATCGATGGTACTCTTACCATTAGACATATTTATTTAATACACTGAAAATAAATGTTTAATTCTGTAAAAAAAAAATATTCCCATTAAAATATACAAAATGCAAAATAAAACAAAGCATATAAGTTTGTTTAATTTATATATTTACAATAATTAATAATTACATGTATATAGCTTGATTTTGTTGAAACAAAATTAAATGGCCTGAATGACAAGTCAAGTAAAAAAAAGCTTGGAATGTGTTAAAATTTATAATACAGTTTATAACAGAATGAACTCATGGAAATTTTGATACACCATAAATAATAATCAACCAAAATTCTCATCTCAATTTCGTGAACAATGGGAAAAGGTTACAGTTGTATAATTTAATTGAACAAATATATATAGGAATACAAATTTTTCTAACAAAACCTAAACAAAAGAGTTGCTGTTTATAAGTGTGTGTATGTGTGTGTGTGTGTGTCGTTTTTCTAACTTTCCAATAGTTGTTTAATGATTCGTTGGAGAGGAGAGGGAAGAGGAAGATTGACGAAGAGATCAATCGACATCAAGGCAAACGACTCGCGATCAAAACATTGTTAATTGGCCTGGCACGCACATAGTACTCTCTAATCAACTAGCTTGACTTTGATGTCACGTACTGTAATGGCCTTTCGCCATTTCTTTCAACATGATGCTTCGAATAGCACGACAATATATTTTTTTATTATTACCTATCCTAAAAATRAAAGGGTTRAACCCTWATCGTACACCAAAATGCTAATTTTTTGATCAGATTAATTAATAGTATTATTATAGATGATTAATCAACGTTTAATTAGAATTAACGTTGTATTTAATTAATTTGGAATATCGTTGAATTAAATAAAACAAAATTAATTTGTTTATTAGTTTATTAAATTAAAATTATATTTTAATTTTGCAATTTTACTCTTATTGGTTGTAAGTCATCGCTCACGTGTGACAAAACACACATTGAAACTCTCACACTCTTAATAAATAATTATTAATATCATATATATGTAATACTCTTTTAAACAAATAAATAATTTCTGATAACAATATTATTTTTACAATATTAAAAAATTTTTTTTTTTAATATTTATTTAAACCAACTACAAACTTAATGAGAATCATCAATATAAAAAGCTAACGACTAATAAAAATTAATTATCCTCGTGATTATACTAAACTAACTTTCTTTTCCTCTATGTGCAATAAGTATCACTTATGTAATTAAATAATAATAATAAACACCAGGTAAACTCAAACGGGGAAAGAACAAAATTCTTTTGATCTGCATGAGAGAGAAAGAGAGAGAGAGAGAGAGAGAGAGAGAGAGAGAGAGAGAGATCACTTTACTTCGGTGACGATATTCGCCCACGCGAATTATCATGGTCTAACGTCATAAGTGCTACGTCATTCTTTTCTTGGATTTCTCTTTAAAAACGTTATTAAATACGTGCAATACTTTTATATTATTCACAAAAAAGGAAAAAGAAAGAAATATCACTGCGTTTCTCTTTCTCTCTTATGCTACAATGTTTAAATCCTGTTATGGAACAGAAATTCTTCGGAATCATCGAAAACCGTACTTTCTTTCAATCAGTTAACTGTGATTGACGAAAATACTCTTCATGAAAAAGTGGGACGATTTTGTCTATGGACGAGTATACTCGTCATGCGTATAAAGTAACGACCATTGGCCATTTAAATTGTAATTTTTTGAGAAAAATAAAACATATTCTCAAATTTAAAGATGTTTAGAATATTTTGAGGCCATGCTGAAATAAAACAAACAAATAAAAAATATAAATAATTTCACATGAACTCATGCGTTCCCTGTATGCACCAGCTGAAACAGCTTACCAGTTCGTGTAACGAATTTATTTAGGTGCAATGATAACGTTTTTTAGATGATAGCCTAAAATGTGGCCAAGGTAAAAGTCAGAATGTTGATTTGTAATAGGATTCCTTCAGGTATGGTCAGTCACGGGAGAAATGCGTGACGTCGACCAGGTGTAAATATTTAATTTTGATTGGGTTTTTAGTTTAATATGTTTATGTTAACCAAATAAGTAAATGTTAGAAATAAAATTGTCAATTTTATAAAATAAACTCCGATCTTTTTTGATCCAATATCTTATCAGTGCAACTTACTCTGTGATTGACGAGTATGCACGTCATGGTACAATTTTGATGATACGAAGCCGTGGGTGCTTTCAAACGTGGGCACCAAAGTTAACTGGTTAATATTTAGTCACGATTTTACTATAATTTCATTTTAAAATCTTGTTATTCATAGAATTTTGATATTCAATTCATTCATACTTTCGTATTTGTAAAATTCATTGAAAGTTTGTACACGTTATTCGAATAAATCAAACGAAATTCGACCCATTCTCTTATCGAACGTTTGAAAGAAAAGTAAAGACATTTAAAGAGTAATAAAAATGATTAAATCGTAATGACTTACCTTACGAAAAGATTCAGGATAGTTTTGAGGATAATGTAACAGCTTTTCCTCTTCCTTAAGTTTCGTCGTGTCTGTAACAATAAAAGGAAAAGAAAAATTTATGACGAGTTATTTTCCTTTAATATGCAAAAGTTTCTTGTTAGGGGATAAACCTAAGTAAACGTATTTCGTTCGGAAATTTTTTTGCTTGAAGAATTTATGCAACCATCTTTTGCAAGAGATATGTCGTAGATATTATCCTGTAGTATCTAACTCTTTCTTTTCCTTTTTAATTTTTTTGTAGAATATACCTTTGATCGTATCGTAGTTAGACGTACGATGATATACGTCAGGTAAATCAAAGCTAAAGTACGATAAAATACAAGTAAAAAAGAAGCTGTCATCCTTCGAACAAAACTTGTATTGTCTCCACTTTAATGATACGTTTCGAATCAACAACGAATCCTAGTCACGAGTATTATCCTGTGTGTCCTTCGGCTTGATACTTTTCTATTTTCTATTTTCTTCTTTCTCTTTCTTTGTTAAATAAATGATTTAACTTTTACCTACATAGATACACGAACAATTTGATTAACAATCCTTTTATCAATAATCATACGACGTATTTTAAATAGTTGGAATAAATCAATGTAAGAATTAGTTTAAAAAAAAAAATAGATATTATTAATATTTTTTTAAATATTTTATAGTATGTGAATAATTATGAGAAGATCTAAATTATAATACTTTAAATAATTTGTAGTAGATTTAATATATTAATTTTTGAATACGTGTCTGTTAATATAAATATAAAAAAAAAATTATTATTTTAAAATAAAAAAAAATTAAAATTGTATTTTTTGTAATTTTTTTTAATTTATTGTTATATTATTTTATTATTATTGTACTTTTAATTTTTTTAAATTATTAAATTATTAATAATTTATTCAAATATTTTATAATATTATGAGAAAATGTCTTATTTGTCGTAGGTTTAACCCTTTGAGTAATAAATATTATAATATAAATTTTATAGTAAATTATATTTAATAATTATATTTATATTTAATAATTTTATAATAAAAATTAAATTCAATATTATATTTAAATTTAATAATTTGATAGTAAATAAATTGGATCGAAACATTCATCTCATTTCGAAGAAGAAAATCAACGTGAGTTTGATTCGAAGTGGTATCAGGATACGATAAGAAATATACATCTGGTTCGTTCACTTGATTCTAGCTAACATGAAAGATTATCGAAATGAGATAGATAAGAGTATCCTCTCAACGAGAGAGACTGTACGGCACCTGCTTTCGTTTTCCAAGTAATCGTTCTGGATTTCGCAAGAGTTTGCTACGGCTGCTTGGCATTTGTAAATTCTGCATCCGTTCGTGCTCTCCTGACAACGCATACTAAGAACTAACGAAGGGTTATGTATTAACCTTTTTAAACATACACATACATACCTACGTACACACATCTTTAAATCATACATGAACCTATTACATATACACGTACATTGAATACATACAAATATACATACTCTTGTACGTACTTCTTTAAACTACATATGAAAACCATATACGTATATTACACAATACATACATATGTAATTAAATTCATACATTTTTAAACAATATATGAACTTATTTACATATACACATGTATACTCTTTTAACATGTTGAGTGCCACGTCAGTCATAGATGACAGACACTGAACTTCTCGTTCAGGCCGTGTCAAGCACCGGTGCTTGACATTTACCTTTTCATTTTGCCACACGTGGCCTGACAAAGATTTCCGTAAGAATTCATGTGGCGCTCAACGTTTTGAACAACACACACATATGAATTTATTATATAAAACACATACATACATATGTTTTTACGTATGTACTTCTTTAAACCATATATGAACTTATTACATACATGCTCGTACATACAAACATATGTATTTAAGTTCGTACATTTTTTAATCATACATGAACTTATTACATATACATATACATGCATGTAGGTACGAATGTATTTATTTAAACAATTTCTTTATATATATATGTATGATTTTGTTTGAAGCACGTATAGAATTAGGTATGTGTGAATAGTCGAGTGATAGCATCGGAAACATACCGATACGTAGCATCGTGAAACGACAGAGAGTTGARAAAGGGTTGRGTTTTAAGATGCCGTTGGCAATGCGTAGAGATCATTTTCTTCCTATGATTCATCGTGGTGTCTTCGTCCTTCGAGATCGCATTGGCGAGAATCTCAACGGGGGATCGCACGATATCGCGTTACCCTTCTTTTCTCTTGCACCTGCGAGAACTCTCGATCTCATATATATATATACAAACAACGTATATATATATATATATATCTTGTGTGTGAACATTCTTCATGAAATTCTCTAACGAATTTTACATTCCTCTATTTCAATCCTACGAATATTCTATTGTATTTGATATATTCGTGTCTTATTCTTTTGTATATAAAATAATATAAATGTATATATAAAAAAATAAAAAGGAAAATATTTAATAAATTATTTATAACGTTTGATGATATTGATAGTCGAATCATGAATTCATGGAAGATATGAAACAACTGTTTTTTATTTATTTTATTGATTTATACTAATAATTAGTTTATTATTATATGTAATAATATTTTATTGCATTTATATTAATAATTAGATTTTTATTTTATGATATACTATTTTATTTTATTTTTTTTATTAATTATATTTTTTTTTATATATATATTACTATTTTATTTTATTAGTTACTCTTTATGATTTAATTATTTATTTAAATTATATTAATTACTTTTCTGTTTTCTACACAACTAAAAGTAAGAATAAGAAATTTATCAACATTTGTAAAATTTCTACAATAATAAATAAATTTTTACTACTTACAAAATATTGTAAAATAACATGACTTATAATAAATACTTAAATTATTTTATTTCTTGGTGTTAATATATTTTAAATAAATATCACGAAATAAAATAATACAATATACTTTTAATTTTCTATATTCTATATATAATCTTTCCATTTAATTCGAATAAATTATTAACATTATATTGGGTAGGATCAATCATTCATAAATTCGTTCCATTCAACAATGTCATAGTTTCCTTAAATCGAACCACTTGTCATGAAGTATCTTTATTTTTTTGCAATCAGTATCATTGACGACGCAAAAACTCTTTAGTGATTTATGTCATCGGAACGCGCCAACAAATGACAATTGGTTCTCTCATTACTTATACAATAATATTCCAATCATACAAAGCAAAAAAAAAAACAATATAGTCTAATCATCAATTAATGAAAAGAAAAATCCAAGATTTTTCCTAATGAAATAATATAAACGATGCATCCCATTGATATTTTTTTATCATTGGACAGCAGGGACATAAGATCCAGTTTATCAGTGACGCTCAAGGCAACATCAGAAGCAGTCATTTTCTGTTTTCAGCAGGAAAACACTGCATCGTCCAAAATTCAGGTAAGTCTTACAGCTACACTTCTGTGCTTAGGTCAATGTGGTATGTGTTCATTTATAAAAAGCTCCATTATTATTTGTCATATGATAATTTTTTTTTGATTAGAAAAACGGATTAAATAATAATCACGTAATGATTTTATTATCTTGTCACTAAGTATTAACTAAACCATTAGTATTAACTAGTCCTTCTACGCTTAACAGTCAAATCTAAATTCAAAATAGCAAAAGAAAAAAAGAAAAAAAGATAAATATTTATATACACAGTAAGTCACAGAATTATTCTATATATCATTACAGACAAAGCTTATAAACAATAATTGATAGACAATATTTTCAAATTAATATCACACAGTAAAACTAGTTTAAAATTATTTATTCATTTAATAATTAAATTAATATCTATTTTATTACTTTGTGTAGAATATTTTATTCTAAAAGAAATATATTAATTTAGATAAATGATAAAAAAAAAAGAAATCCCATATATTATATCATTTGTATAAAGTACGTCAAATATAAAGTGAATTTGTTGAAACGAGTATTCGTAAATTAATATTATTTGTAATACCATTTAACGGTTGATATATTATTATATACTAAAAAAATAAGTTATAAATAAACTTTAACAATGTTCATAAAAATTTCAAAAAATGTTTCTAACAAAAAAAAAAATAAAACTTTTATTTAAATTCCTCATATTTTAAACTGACTGATGTCTTAAAGTTTTCCAAAAAGAAAATAACATTTTCATTACATAGATATATATATTACCTAGAGGTATAGAACTTTGGTCCTGCTGTAGTTTCTTTAATTCGTTTTGAAATTCCTGACTTTTTATGTAATTTGAAACTGTTTTTTGACTTATTCCGACTTCTGCTGCCATCTCTTCTTGAGTAATACCCGGGTTTTCAAGTGTCAAACGCACTAATTCTCCAATTGCACGTTCTTTATTTATTCTTTTCCTCATAGTTCTGTTTAAGTTAAAATCACCGCTACTGAAGCGCCTAAAGTTATCTTGACATGTAAATTGAGATATAATATCCTTGCCATAAGCGTGTACGAGCATTCGGTGAGCCTCAGCAGCGGATTCGTTACTATTAAAATAGTAAAGTAATACCTCCCGCAAATGACGCATTGTTGGYTTATAAACTGWCATTTCTAATTTGAAATTACTATACGATGTAAACACAAGTTAACAACTGATACTACCAAGTTATCTTTACAAAATGTGAAAGAATATTCCAAGCTGTCTTATATATATGTATTCGACGTCTACTTGTCGCTAATGCCATCTACAGAAAAGCTATATGTCGACCGTTTATTTTGAAAGTGGTTTAAGTCTAGTTTCTTTTGTTTGGAGAATATTAAAGATTTGCATATCAAAGTCTACTCATTTTTTTTACCGACTAAATTTACATTGTACAAAACATATGCCCATTATATGAAATTAAATATTAACTAGTAATCTATAAAGAGTTTACATTAAAATAAATATAAATTACATTATATCTCTTTTTTTTTTTAAATAAACTTACACAACTTTCTAAAGAAGCGGTCCATATATGTCTATAAAT